GACAAAAGTGCCATTAGAAGAAAAGTACATCACTTTTTCTTCAGGAATGAAATACCTACAATAGATAAAATATTGAAGCAAGTGAATGATGATGAGGACCTGCCAAATTTTAAAAGATCTACGTTCCATAAGCTGTTGAAAGAACTAGACTTTGATTTTTGAAAAGAGGAAGGAATAGTTTATTGATAGAAAAGGAGGAAATTGTTATCTGGAGGAGAGAATACCTTAGAAAAATTAGGCAATTCCGCGCTGAAGGAAGAAAAATTTATTATTTAGACGAAACATGGGTGAACGCGGGGCATACGCAGGGAAAGGTTTGGGTAGACAGATCTGTGAGGTCCTCAAGGCAGGCTTTTTTAGATGGCCTTTCGACGGGATTGAAAAATCCTGCAGGTAAGTTTCGGAGTATATGAACTTTTTTGGATGCAGATAATTAATTTTCTGATCGAATCAATGATTTGGAAGCTCCGAACTCAGTTTTGCTATCTCATCCAAGTTTCTGAGTATTTCCTTCACCCAAAAACTAATCTAAGACCCTATCCTACACTAACCTAAAAAGAGTAAGTTGCTTAATTTCGTCATTTAGTGCGCTCGCTGAGAAGTAAAATAACTAATTACTTTCAGGCAAGGGAAAACGCCTGATCATTTGCCACATAGGTAGCGTAGATGGATTTGTTCCTGAAGCATTGTGGGCATTTGAATCCAAAAAAACTGGAGACTATCACGAAGAAATGGATGGTAACTCATTTGAAAATTGGTTCAAAAAAATTTTGCCGACACTTGATGATAACGCAATTATTGTGATGGATAATGCCCCGTACCACTCCAGAAAATTGGAAAAAATTCCAACAATGGCCACCAAAAAGGCAGACATTCAACAGTGGCTTGTCTCAAAGAAGATCGACTTCGACCAAACAATGGTCAAAGCTGAGCTGATAAATATAGTCAAGCGACATAAGTATAAATATGATTTAAAAATTATTGACGAAATGGCCAAAAACCAAAATAAAACGATTCTCAGGCTGCCTCCCTATCACTGCGAACTGAATCCTATCGAGTTGATTTGGGCCGACATCAAGCAATACGTATCGTCAAATAACAGCACTTTTAAGTTTTCTGACCTTAAAAAACTGTTTGATGTTGCTGTCGATAGAATTACGCCAGCAAAATGGAGAACATGTATTGACCATGTCCAAGAGAAGGTTGAAACCAAAATGTGGGATATGGACAATATCATTGACACCCAAGTTGAACCCCTTATAATTGACATCAACAATTCTGATGATTCAAGCTCCTCGGAATACAGCATATAAATCGATTGATACCATTAAGACTGGCAGTTTAACGGGCTTTTTGGCAAGACAGGTAAGTTCATTATAGACTGCAATCAAAGTGTAAGTTTCTAGTTATTAATGTGGAAATTCCAAATTTATAATTACACAAAATTAGGGTTAATTTAGGAGTTCCAAAGCATAATAGTGCCATTTTGACCTTCTTCCTATTTCTCATGTAAATTTTAATAGCAATCAAACTAACAAACTTTATGGAGTCTGTAATAAACTTTTGTACTACTACGTCTGTAGTTTCTATTTGCTCAAAAAAATTTGCTCTGCATTGTGAATAGAAGGTTGATTTGTAAATATTATTGGGTATATATGTAAGTTAATAATAAAATATGAACAATTTCAATTGAGATGGTCCACAAGTTTTTTTCGTGTGCGTTTTAGTAACATTTTGCTGAAATGGTGAATACAGAATTTTTTGCACTGATTCCTAATGTCGAAATATGATTAGAAAGGCGTGGTATATTCCTGATAATTTACTATGCTTTTGATAGAATTTACAGCAACACATATCTTATACGACATTTTTTGATAGATCAGTCACAATAGCTTGATACGGCCCTGTAGCGTCTCCTACGGTTAAGTTCTTGATCACGTGCAATACGGGTGTATATGTTTGATTTTACTTTGTTTCTTCGATGGATACAGTTTAAATGAACTTCTAAGTTGACCCCCCTGCTCCTAACAACAGAATACACGAATGCAGACTTGGACTTCGTCGATCTTCGTCGATGTTTTTGAATTGAACCGACAAACATCAATCAAATTCAAGCGGATAACCAAATGAAAATGGTATTTACCATTTTGGATTGGTATTTACCGATCCGTTCAAGCGAGTGTGGTTATCAGTTTGGTTATAAGATCCGTGACGTCATGAATCAGCTGTTAGATGTCATAGTTATCACCGCAAAATTGTGGTGTTTACCCAACTCAGGAGTAGTTTTATATTTCTGGTTATTAATTGACATGTGACAAGTTAGAATTTTGCCGGGTATTAGATATTTTTATTGTACTTCAGCTTCATTTTTGATACAGGCTGACTTCAGTTTTAGCATAAGAGAGCACCTTATTACTTATAATCATTACTGTTGTTGGGGACACTTTAAATCTAGTTCCTACGCTTAACAAAGTATCCTGTATAGCCATATACCACAAGAATATTAAAATATGGCCATATAAGCTCACTGGATGATGTCCACCTGTATACGGTTTTGTTAATATCTTTTTTTCATAGCTTTTTCATCATTTCTGCTAAATCAATAAATATTTTCTTTGACCTGCGGAAAAGTTTAGAGAATTGAAAGTTATCATAGCTACAAAGTCATGGTTCCATCAGTAAAAATTTTTTTCTGAAAAAAAAACATTCCTCCTATTAATATTGTGAAACTTTTCTTTTTTTCAACTTTCCATACCCCGTTGTAGATGAAAAAGCACCCATTATTAAGTGATAATAAAAATAATCAGAAATTATATACGCGCTTTTCTAAAATAAACAACTTGCATCAAACCGCGGTTAAAACCAACGCGTTCAAGCCATTCGAGTAACTGACGTCATCATCCCGTGTGTCATCTTGAACCATATTATAACATAATACGGAAATTTTGGTTATTCGCTTGGATTTGATTATCGTGTTGTGAATATGACAGAGACCACGCCGTATACTTCGCACGAATATGCGGACATCAGCTGATTTACGGTGAAGCTTGCGGTAATGCCAGAGCGGCTCAAAGGCTCTACGCAGAGCGCCACCCCAATCGCCGACATCCGGGTCATGAAGTTTTCACCTGGACCCATACAGCGATATCTGAAGGTAAGTAATGTTTACATGTTTCCTCTTAATAATAAAGAAAAATTACTAAAACTACCTCTCACGCAAAGTCTTTCGTGTTTTAACTTTAATTTTTAATTTTCCTCAGGTCGCATACCTGGAAGGCGTGGCGGCTAGAGAGGACGTCCTGAAACGGTAGATGTTGAAGCTGTATTAGAGGAAGTGGAAGGAGATCCATCGACTTCAGTCAGAGTGATAGGAAGGTGCAAGATCTACAGTTCACAAAGTTTTGAAAGACCATCAGTTTCATCATAAATTGGACCCCAACTTTTTTGATAAAATAATTTGGAGCGATGAATCGGCTTGCAAGCGTGATGTTTATGTTAATTTACATAACCTTCACAATTGGCAGACAGTAAATCATCACGGAATGAGAGCAGATCGGTCGCAGTACCTGTGCAAGACAAACTTATGGAGCGGGATTCTTAATGGTCAGATATTGGCTACAACATGACGGCAGCCCTGTTCACTGCGGGCATGAAGTGAGAGCTCATTTAGACTTATCCCCACCGGTGGATTGGACGATCGGCGCCAATCACGTGGCTTGCTCGATCACCAGACCTGAATCTATTAGATTTCTTCTACTGGGGCTGTCTTAAGGACAACATTTATTCAAAACCAGTTCAAAACGAAGAACATTTGCGAGAACAAATACATCGAGCTGCTGGTGAGATAGTTAAATTGAATCTGAGAACTCTAAAAGCGTCTTTTCTTAAGAAATGCCGAGCTTGTATTAGAGTAGAAGGTCGCCAATTTGAGCATATTTTGTCAATAAATGAATAATTTTGTTCCACAGTTTGTGCTTTATTTCACGCTAACCCGTCCTTTACAAAAATAATTCTTTTGTATTGTTACTGATTCGAGTCCGAATTTCAGTAAGTTTCAATAAATCGTGTCAGGAGCAAGTAATAATAATGTAACTTTGTACTATTTTCCATGTCACTGATCGGTAGCCAGTACAACTTGAATTTAGATCCAATAATTGCATTGTTGTGTGTGCCAGTCACTTACAAAAGCAGTTATCACTTTTTTCTATTCCAAATAGTACGTGTGGTGCCTTACTGAAATCTGTATTCAACGAGCAATCTTTTTATTCAATATAATGCATTTATAGCCCAGGACATTTTTGTTGCACCACAAATGTTGAGGAGTTGAGGAAAAAATATCAGAAGGTTATAAATCCCAAAATAGTCCTTATTTGATCATTGGTCCCTTAATATCTTTTAACTACATTGCATTTTTTGTATATGATAAAGCAACTATCTAGAAGTATTTTATAGAAAAAATGAACAAAGTACATGCAGCTAAAGACCACATATGAAAAGGTTCGTTTTTTAAAATTTAAGAAAAAATTCAATATCTCAAAAACGGTGACACTTTTATATAGGTAAATTTTTGTCCCTCAAGTTTGCCGTGGTACTTATTGGACACCCTGTATAAGACAGCCCATTTTGATAAAAAAGTCGACCTTGAAATCCCCATTTCACAGGCTACAGCTTAAATGTCTTTATATAATTTATCAGGTGTTATGTGGTGTGAGTGACACTTGCTATATAAAAATTCCGTAAAAACAAAATTATGGATATTACACCTCAATCTTGAGATTTCTATTATACGGATACAGCTCAAAGAGCTTGAAAATTTTGACATTTCGAGTGTCCTTCGACTCGCCCTGATAGCACAATTAAAAATTCTTCCTTGTCAGTTACTGCAGCCCGACTTTTTGTATTTTTTCAAAAGTTTACTTGGATCAATCAATGATAATTCGATTGTTCGCATATGTTTGTAATCGTTATGATTGACTCAGATCTTTACTCTAGTAACTTACCAACTGCAATTGTCATAACGAGATCATTTGGATCATCTCTAAATACAGGATACTTGGAGTTACTGGTATCACCAAGCATCTCAATAACGTCCTTTTTGGTTTTAGGAGAACCATGTTTATCGAACGCTTCCATCCTGCATACGCTGCTTTTGCTCATTTCTGGATCAGCCTCATCTAATTTCGTTCTCAAGTATCTGGAAAATATCAAAAGTGATATATTTTGAAGATAGGTAGATCAAATTTAACATAATTATTTATTAGGTCTATGGGAATGTTCCGTTCTATACAATAGAGTTTTGATTGTAACAAAAATAACGAATCCTTAAGCCTTCCGTTACGTTGTTGTTGGCAGCGATCGCAAATAAGGATGGCTGGAAAACAAGAGTTCTCATGACCAATAAAGAGAACCGTGGTAGAAAAATCTTTATTTATCTTAATTTGTTCAGATAGAAAACAAAAACACACGAAAATATCACTTTTTATTTCAATAAGTGTTCAAAATGTTGCTTGTTAGGGTTTGCCAAATCTACAATTCGTTTATAATTTAAAAGGGAGTCTACCAACATAAACAGCAATTCGGAAGATTAGACCTGGCAACAACCAAATAACGACCAGAATTTTTTTCCGCATTCTGTTTAGGTATATTTGTTGCTAAGGGAAAGAAAGAACTTACTATCAGTTACCTTTGTGACAACCTTGAGATTGTGAAAATTAATGTATTGATTCAGATTTTACTTCCATAATGGTTTACACACTTGCCAAAATAGTGGAAATGATTCTAATTTATGGTGCCCAAAATCAAAGTGCTCGGCAAACTGCAATCACGTTTAACGCCAGACATCCAGGGAAGATTGCTTCGCATGGACCTTGTTATTAAATTTACTCAAACTGGATCTGTTGCAAATAAAAAACGTGATCATCGGAGAGTTTTGGATAAAGCCGCTCAAGTTGAAGTTTTGGGTCTTTTTGAAATAAATCCTAATACTTCATTACGCAAAATTGTTGCTGCGACTGGTATTTCATTAGGTTCTGTACACACAGTAACTAAACTCCATAAATTTCATCCACTCAAAATTAAAATATTGCAAGCGTTAACAGAAGGTGATTTCGATAGAGGAGTTGAGTTTTGTAAACAAATGACTGCAGCGATTAATAATAACACCATTCATGAAAAAAATATCTGCTTCAGTGATGAATGCACATTTTATCTAAATTGATTTATTAATAAGCATAACTGCAGGTATTGAAGCAATGAAAATCCTCATGCTTTTGTAGAAGAGCATACCCAGTACCCCCAAAGACTAAAAACAAAGTGATTGGGGCATTGTTTATTAATGGATATTTGAATGGAGACATTTATTTGGATATGTTGGAAAATGTCATCATTCCACTTATCACTGAAACCATTGAAAACCAAATCTAAGAGAATGGGAACCCTATACTTGATGAGCCTGAAATGTATTTCCAGCAAGACGACGCTCCTCCTCACCATGTTCTTCCGATTCGGCAATAGCTAGACGACGAGGTTCAAGGTAAATGGACAGGGCGAAGAGGGCCTATAGAATGACCTGCTAGATCTCCTGATTTGAAGCCATTATACTTTTTTCTATGGTGCCATTTGAAATGTATTGTGTTTACTCCCCTACCTGAAGTTTGGATAACTTCGTCAACGCGAAAGCTGCCATGTTATCCCACAACACGTTTTTGAAAATGTCCTTTAGGAATTTGAACATCGCCGATATCATTGTTTGGGCAATAACAGCAACATTTTGAACATGTATTGAAATAAAAAGTGATATTGTTGTGTGTTTTTGTTTTCTATCTGAACAAATTAAGGTAAATAGAGATTTTTCCAATTTTCATGAAAACGAATCGACCTCTTTTAAAAAATAAAGGACTTTTTATTAAATATTTTTAAGGCGATGGCCCTGGGGAGCAGAGGGTGAAAGGGTGTGGAGTAGTTTTTGGTTAAAAAGTTGTCCCCACTGACGAATCTTTGAACGTGTCTCGGCTTTACAGGGTATGTGTACATATTATAACAAAAATCAGGACAATTCAATTCATTTAGAACGCTGCCTATTTCTTGCATTTGTGTTTATTCAGTATCTAAAACTTATACTTGTATTATATCAACCATTCCATTCCATTTAAAAAAATACATCTTTATTCGATAGAGGTTTTCTGAGACACCAGGTATAAAAAAATTTCACATTAGACCCTATAACCTTTATACCCCTTACATGTCATGCAATATCCAAAAACATAATAACCCATGCACGAAATGTTTTGCTCCAGTAGCGTGGAAAATAAATCGACGCTTTTTCCTAGAAATAACTTTTTGTAAGAATTTTCCAAACTTACTTATTGCAATGAGCAAAATATTCTCCAGGACTGGCAGTGAATATGTTCAACTGAGACTCGTCCGTTTTATCAGCTGGTCCCAATTCTGCATTGTGGAACAATCTGTTGCCTTCTTGGTTCAAAAAGGTCATGTTGACAGAACAGGCGTCTCCAACGCCGCATCCTCTGTCTCTTAGGATCTCCTGAGCCTTGGCGAAATTTTCTGCTGAGAGAAGGGCTCTAGTTATGAAATGACGAGCTAAAAAGAAAAAAATGGCGTCAAGTGAGATGACTCTGCACTTCCTTCGCAACGCTGTCGTCATTTCATAAATGATTATGAGTTAGACAAGTTACAAGTTAAACCCTCTAAGAGAAACGTTAGTTACAAACAAGTGTATCAGAGAAATTAAGCGGATCAAGCCAGTCCAGCAGGCCCATACAATTAGTCCATAGACATTATTTCCCCGTCTTACCGATAGTACCGTTCATCTGGCAACGTCACCCTTCCTACATAGGTGGATAGAATTACGGAGTTGGAACCTTATAAATATACTATCAAAAAATTTGAGGTAAATCTTCTGAAAATTATCAGGAGCCTATAAAACGTTAAAAACAATGTTAGAGCGATTTCTATTTTTTTGCCAAAATCCGAGCGGTTCTTTCGTTATATACGGGTCCAGGATTAACGGACAGACCTGCAGATTTTTCGTGATTTGTATGTCATATACCATACAAGCAATATAATATCCTATTTTCGAAATTTTTCGCGATTAGAATACTTTCCTGCCAGTGACGTAGGAGGTAAAAAACATTTTGGAAAACGTGAGGTGTTTTTGAAATGGCCGATCCAATTAAATTCCGATAATTCGTCAATAAGAAGATACCCTACTATAAATATAAGTCGAAAAGAGCAAATGTTTTCTGCATATTTAAAAATTCATGTACCTACGTTATTTCCTATGTACCTAAGGAAATTAAATGGAATAGATTTATATAAAAAGTTTACTTACGATTTTTTCCCGGTCTCAAAACCTTCGCGCTGATAGTGTTAACAGAGTACACTAGTCCGTGATGATTACATCCCATAGTGTACCCAGGCAAGTGTCCAGCGTAACATAGAGATGTGAACTTCTCTTCAGTGACTTTCCATTTTCCTTCAGGTTTGTCGGAAATTATATGAGCAGCTACGTAATAGTAGTGATTCAGCGTTTCGCTGAGAGCGTCTTCTGTATGGCCCAGGATTTCCTGCAAACAAGTATTCTACGACTTCAGGCACTTTTACGTATGTCCGTTTAAATTAAAATCCTAAATCTTTCGTGATGAATGTGCAAGAATCCTAGTAATCCTACATGTTTGTCTGGCCGCTGAATTAAACCATATACAGTGAAATCCATATACAACTAATGTCGTAATGAGCACGAGGGACAAACGTGAGAAGCACGCGATACGTGTTTTAGAAAGAGATAGAAGCACCTCGTTGCCTAGCAACCCGACTGACGAGGCCACCGACGCAGCTGCGACTTGCCGCGTTGACATCGGCTCACTCTTTCTAACATGCCATATTGCACACATCTCACGATTCTCTCTCGTACACATTTCGACGTCAGCCAAATTTGAACCTCATCGTAAGCTTGAAATACTGACGACGTTGCAGGACCGTTCATACTATTGCAGTAACAGACTGTATAAGAAAAAAAATCAAGTAGATTGGGTATATTTCCCACTCCTACAACTTCTAGTACAGTTTTTCATGTAGTGCATTGCCATCAAAAAGACGTAGGTTTTGTGAAAACCATTAGTGCACTATTTGGGCTTTGCATGAAAAAAACTTCATCAGATTGCAGCAATTTTCGGTAGCCTCATTTCTTTGGGAGCTCTGGTATAAAACTGTTTGTCTATGTTTGACACCTGATATATACATTACACTACGTATATTACGAGTAGTTTATAATATTACCTCATGAAATCAAGTAACCACATAAAATTACAGGTCAAGCATAATGCACGTATATATATATATATATATATATAATATCGCGCACACCTCGTAAGTGCATATCGCATCACGGGCTGCCTGCTTTTTCTCGCGACAAATCTTGCAGCGCTGGTAGAATTCGAGATCGAGTGCTCCAACGAAGCTGTCATTCACAGGGCTCGATGTATGAAGGAAGGAGACCCGCAACAGCCACAAGAGAAGTGTATTACTATACTCACATCAAAAAAATTCGATACACCCTCCCCCATCCCTCTTTCACCCGCCACCATCCAATTTCTGACCCCTGAAAAGGATTAACGGACAGACAGACCGACGGAAATGAGTGACATGATTTCCCGTGATGTAAATGTTATACATATTACATTCAAAAAACATATTTCATTTTGGGAAGCAACAAACGCTCTATCACCTGGAAGACAGATAAACACAATATATTGTCATCAGAATAATTATTTGTACTTGAAAGAGGGCACCGTCGTGGCCAAATCGTTGTCAGTAAATAGTATTTCATGAAGAATTATCGGCATGGAAACCACAGGATAAGTGTCAAGTGTTACATTAAACTAAAATATATACTACTAACTACCATATAATATGACATTTTACTTTGAATTATAGCATATCTGAGAATTTTCTGAAGGTTCGGCACTATTGCCCGGATTAAGCATATCATACGTCACAGAGCGGTGAATAGCACAAGAACGCTGTTGCATGATACTCTGACAAAGATAAATGATGCTACCATACGTCGACACGTCATTCGTGTCCCATTCATTTTGAAATCTCAATATCAGGTAAACTGGGAATCAGATAAATAAATACATCAACAACAATAATTTTAGTTATGAAATAGAGTGCTAATAAACAATAACTATTAGAATTATTTGAAAATTGATAAATGGTTTCATAGCAGTCACAAGTCTGTGCCCAGCATGCTAAGGAAGTTCTACATGAGTGCACACATTTATTATTTACCTAGGGATTTTATCATTATCATTTATCTCGGGGGAGAAACGTAGCTTCTCCTTAGAGGAATGCGGTAAGTAATCACGATTTCTTAGGTTAGTAGTGAACAAATGGCGTCAGTTAGGTTGACTCTGCACTTCCCACGCAACGCCGTCATCAGTTCGTAAAGGATTAAGTTCAGTACGAGTTAGACCCTCCGAGAAAAAGTTAGTTACGAACATGTGTAACGGAGGCGTAAAACGAATCAAATCAGTCAAAGATCTCGCAACGTCACCCCTTTCCGATGCCTGGTCGCACGATGCATCAGATGCCACTGAGCGGCACAGCGGTAGTAATGGCAGGACAGTTTGGAAGACCGGCACGTTCACCATCGTATTAAGACAGCAGCAGCCACGCTTAGCGAATACATTTTTCTATCACTCTAAATTTTATGGGCAAATGTATCGGGAAATCTATGATGTGTGAAATATGTTAAATGGGAGTGTAAAGTTAACGAGGTTGGGAGCGTATAAATATACAGTAAATATTGAGATCCTTCCCTATCCCTTGCATCCCCAATTTTTAACCCCTACAATTTTTTTTCCTGAAAATGATTAGGAGCCTCTGAAGCGCCAAAGAACGAAGTTTGAGCGATTTCTATTTTTGTATGTCCTTGGCATAGTAATAACCTTATGTGAAAATTTCATCTAAATCCGAGCAGCACTTTCCAAGTTATAGACGGGACAAGGATTAGCGAACAGACAGTATAATCACAAAAATGAGTGACGTGATCTCATTTTCGAAATTTTTCGTGATTACAGCACTTCCTCGCCGGCAGGCGTGGGAAGTAAAAGAAGTTCTGAATTGCCGCCTACTGTTTAAGTTTGTATATAAATAGTAACATGTTTGTCGTTCTGACCTTTAGTGATACACAAAGCATAGATATCGATTTATTTTATACTGCTTCGTAAACTTAATTAGGCTTCTAGTCTTATGTTCTAAGCTTATATAAAAATGTTAAACAGGATTATGTAATTTTTTCTAAATATACTTATTTATGTGATTTTCTCTTCATACCTCTCTTGCTCTTTAATTTTTTTTCTGCGTTACGATATATCAAGGGCGCCCATATAGAAAAAACATGCAGTTGGCAGGTTAACCTTGCAGGCCCAGTCAATCAGTTTGAAGCAGGGTTCTTTAAGGCGGTGAGAGCAAAAATGATTTCTATATAGGGGTATTTTGAGGAGTAAAAAACACACTTCACTCGTTGTCCGAGAAACGGTTTTTTTTATACTCCAACTACCACAAAGGCTTAAGGCATAAACACAGGGGGATACAGGGGAACATGCACACATTCTGGCCTCGCCTACGAGATCCGCCGGGTGGTATCTCTGCGTTCGACAGTCAAAGACCGTCTACCACCTACGGATAATCACAACATCCATAGCCAAGAGAAAATTTCTCTTGGGACGGGATCCGAACCCGCTCAGCGCACGGCGACTGATCAGGAGACCGAAGAGTCTACTACTGCTGCCGAAGGGAGAGAGACGTCCTGAGAATTGTTGCCGAAGAAGTTCCATCGAAGTACGAGCTGTCTGATGTTGCCCCGTCTTGTTGGAACCACACTGTTCTGAGACGGACACGTCGACGTCGAAGTTCAGGAAAAAAGTCTCATTTCACATCATGGCGATACTGCATGGCCCCCTCGCTCCCCGGACCTGTCAACGTGTGATTTTTTTATGCGGATACCTGAAATCAAAAGTTTACCAAAGCAAGCCTCGGACCCTCGTCGATTTGAAGGAGGAAATAAGAAGAGAAGTAACCCAAATTTTTGCACGGATGCTGGCCGACGCAATGGGCTCATTTCGAGAAAGGCTTGATTCCTGCATTTCGGCTCAAACGCGCCATATGGCCGACATAGTTTTTAGAACGTAAATTTTGTTTTACACAAAAAAATGGCATGTATTACTGAGTATTTTGATATAATAAAATATTTTTACCCATACTTATTTTGACTGCACTACTCAGTTAAAGAACATGCGTTCTTTATGACGGACCCTGTATTTTGTCTTCCAAAAAGTAGGATTTTACATATTTGCTGCATTTGATAATATGCAGGTATGCCAGATAAAGAGTTTTGCTATGACCTTTCCGCTGTCACGTTAGATTTTACTTCCGACGTCACTATCACCAGTATCACCACAGATGTCAATTAGTATGCTTATCGCTGATGGATGTGTTGTGAAAAAATAGGCAAGGGCAATGCCTAAAGGAAGGAACATATTTAATCACATATCTCACTTAATTATCGCACGTTTACATAACAAGGAAACGCAGTTTACAAATTGACACAAGATTGAGAGAGGAGAAATAAAAAATTGTTTGATGACCATCGACTTTATTTTCGACTGCATAAATCAATTTTTGAGTTTTGAGAGTTCAGATATTGTTTTTATTTGTTTCTTGTTCTTGGTATCCGATAAAAAATGGTATCATGAATTCATTTGAACGTCAAAAAGTATTTTAAATCAAAGTTTTATCAAGTGTGGATCTCTTTACTTGAACAATACCCGCTTGATCCATTTTTTCCATATATTTATAGACATGCGTTGTTTATATAAAGGTGCGTAAGGTAGGCTTTACTTTTTTAAAAGCTATACAGGGTTATCCAAATTAAGTGTCCACCATTAGTAACTTTGTTATTAGTGAAAATACAAAGTTGTTTGAATTAGCAAACTAGTAGCATTTTTAACGCTGGTAAAAATGAGAAATAAAAAAAAACAATTGAGAGTCGTTATTTTGATTTTTTTCAGTAAAATAACATTTTTTTAAATGGAAACCCCTGTATATTATATTTTTTTCTGTTAAAGCATCAAATTTTAAACAAAAAAGCTTACAATAACTTTTCTCCTAGGTTACAAATTGTTGAAGTTATGGCCTCCAATCTGAAACAATTAAATTGTATCGACAAACTTTATTTTCAACATCAACTTATAATCTTACAAAATAACGTACAATAACAATTTTTTTTAAAGAAGATGCTCGAAAACACCACCTTGTTCTTCAATACATTTTTGGGCACGTTTTTCAACTGCTCGAACTGTCTTAAGTATGGTCCTACCATCTATCTGGGTTATCTTTTCCCTAACTGCAGTCTTTAACGCGTCAAGGTTATCGTACCTTCGCTTGTAAATTTGGTTCTTTAAGTAACCCCACAAGAAGTAATCAAGTGGGTTTAGATCTGGTGATCTGGGAGGCCACTGTATTGGGCCATTTGTTCCTATCCACTGATCATTAAAAGTAG